CAGTGGTAGTAGCATCATCATCATCAGCAGTGGTAGTAGCATCATCAGCAGTGGTAGTAGCATCATCATCATCAGCAGTGGTAGTAGCATCATCAGCAGTGGTAGTAGCATCATCATCAGCAGTGGTAGTAGCATTATCAGTGGTAGTAGCATCATCATCAGCAGTGGTAGTAGCATTATCAGTGGTAGTAGCATCATCATCAGCAGTGGTAGTAGCATTATCAGTGGTAGTAGCATCATTATCATCAGCAGTGGTAGTAGCATTATCAGCAGTGGTAGTAGCATCATCATCAGCAGTGGTAGTAGCATCATCAGCAGTGGTAGTAGCACCATCAGCAGTGGTGGTAGTAGCATCATCATTAGTGGTAGTAGCACCATCAGCAGTGGTGGTAGTAGCATCATCATCAGCAGTGGTAGTAGCACCATTAGCAGTGGTGGTAGTAGCATCATCATCAGCAGTGGTAGCATCATCAGCAGGAGCAGTGGTATTAGCATCATCATCAGTGGTAGTAGCATCATCATCAGTGGTAGTAGCATCATCAGCAGTGGTAGTAGCATCATCATCAGCAGTGGTAGTAGAATCATCATCAGCAGTGGTAGTAGCATCATCATCAGTGGTAGTAGCATCATCAGCAGTGGTAGTAGCATCATCATCAGTGTGTAGTAGCATCATCATCAGCAGTGGTAGTAGCATCATCATCAGCATGGTAGTAGCATCATCATCAGCAGTGGTAGTAGCATCATCATCAGTGGTAGTAGCATCATCATCAGTGGTAGTAACATCATCAGCAGTGGTAGTAGCATCATCATCAGTGGTCGTAACACATCAGCAGTGGTAGTAGCATCATCAATCAGTGGTAGTAGCATCATCCTCAGTGGTAGTAGCATCATCATCAGGCAAGTGGTAGTAATCATCATCAGCAGTGGTAGCCCGACAGCATATCATCTCAGCAGTGGTAGTAGCCACCATCAGCAGTCCCCGGTGGTAGTATAGCATCATCCATCAGCAGTGGTAGTAGCATCATCAGCAGGAGCAGTGGTAGTAGCATCATCAGCAGTGGTAGTAGCATCAGGACAGCTAACGGGCTGCCTGACTGACAACGCCGAGAAGGTTGAAGACGGTGACGAAGACGACGGGATCCACTCCAAACAGCAGCCCCGAACCTGTTCGGGGTCCCCCCTTTTATCCACCCAGCGAGGCCTTGCTCCGCTTCCGGCCACGCCCCCCTTCTAGAACCTAATAGAAGGTTCCCGGGCTTTACCTCACACGTCCCCTCTATCACCTTTGCCCTACATCCCTCTCTCTGGCTTATCACGTGACCTGCTGACAGGGCCGCTACAACCGTAGATCCCCTTCTCTGTCAGCAACCAGCGCTATGCTCCATAGTGACCAATTCCATGCCACTACACATTCAAGACACAGCCACAGTGCTGTGATTGTGGGCATGCAACACACACGATGGACACAGATAGTAAACTCATAGAGATACACAGAGACACATAGAGACCCATAGTGATCCATATATATAGAGACACATCTATATATATAAAATCGTTCATGTCTGTCTGTCTGTGTGTGTGTGTGTGTGGACTTTGGCCCATACGCACTTTCATTGGACGGCGGTTGCCCCTGGCAACGGCTAGCCACGCCTTCGCCGCTTTCATTGGACCTGGCAACGGCTAGCCACGCCTTCGCCAAGGGCTGCAGTTTCATTGGACGGCGGTTGCCCCTGCCAACGGCTAGCCACGCCTTCGCCACTTTCATAAGCTCCGTATTTAATTAAATAATAGCCATTACACAGTATTGTTGGAGCGCTAGGGGGGGGGGGAAGGAACGCCACCCGTACCCTGCCTTTTCCAAGCCGACAATTTTAGGCGAGGCCGCAGGCTTTGCACGCTACTAGGCCTCGACACCCACCACGCCACTCTGAGGTAAATTCATCAAAGTTTTTCCTACTCTTCACTACACCCCCACCACAATGTGTGCTATTAATATTACTTTTAAACCCAACGCGCCAACAATCGATTACTTTAATGTTCACTGTACAAATACTCATTTAGCTGGGTGAGCGTACTGCCAGTCTATCATGTACACTGTAGCCTGCTTATTAAGCTCGGTGAGCGTACTGCCACTCTATCATGTACACTCTAGCCTGCTTATGAAGCTGAGTGCGTGTACTGGCAGTCTATAATGTGGACTCTTGCCTGGTTATTATAATCGATTCTTTATATGTTCTTTGTACAAACAGTCATTAAGCTGCTTGAGCGACCCCAGTTCGATTCCAACTCACGCCCACCACCGCTGACGATTATTTGAAACGGACCTGGCCCTCCCCTAGGTCCACTCAGCCTCAAAAGCGTAACTGCTGTCGTGTGTGAACATCGTCACTGGGGAGACAAAGGCGGCGGGGCATCGTGGATCCAAGTCCCGGGCGAAGCCGGGTCATGTGTATGTGTGTTTGTGTTTATGTGTATGTCTGTGTGTCTCTATGTATGTGTGTATGTATGTGTATGTATGTGTTTGTGTGTATGTGTGTGTGTATGTATGTGGGTTTTTTTTTATGTCTTTATGTGTATGTCTGCGTGTCTCTATGTATGTGTGTATGTACGTGTGTGCATGTGTTTGTGTGTATGTATGTGTGTGTCTATGTATGTGTGTGTATGTGTTTCTGTGTATGTATGTGTGTGTATGTATGTGTGTTACGTGTCTGTCTGTGTGTCTGCATGTATGTGTGTGTGTATTGTGTATGTGTTTGTGTGCATGTATGTGTGTGTTTGTGTGTATGTGTATGTCTGTGTGTTTGTATGTGTGTGTATGTGTGTGTATGTGTTTGTGTGTATGTGTGTGTATGTATGTGTGTGTATGTGTTTGTATGTGTTTGTGTGTTTACGCTCGCATTACACAAATGTGTTGCTGGTCTAAGGCGTTCCTCGCACAGCATTGCCGCTTTATTATTTCAGTCGTTTACTGCCTTACGCACCCTGAAAGTCGTGTGTGTCTGCAGCAAGCGCGTGTATGTGTACCTATGGGCGCGCGCGCGTGTGTTGTGTAGGGGGAACGGTAGTGTAGTGCTTAGCGTGCTGTCTGTGTCTGTGTGTGTGTCTGTGTGTGTGTCTGTGTGTGTGCGTGTGTGGTGTGTGGGGAGCGGTAGTGTAGTGCTTAGCGTGCTGTCTGTGTGTCTGTGTGTGTGTGTCTGTCTGTGTCTGTCTGTGTGTGTCTGCGTGTGTCTGTGTGTGTGTCTGTGCGTGTGTGGTGTGTGAGGAGCGGTGGGTGTAGTGCTTAACGCTACGCTGCGCTACCAACCCGGCGAACCGAGTTCGATTCCCGCTCACGGCCACCACCGGTGACGATTATTTGAACCTCCCCTAGGTCGACTCAGCCTCAAACGAGTAACTGGTGTGGCGTATTAACATCGGCACTTGGGAGACAAAGGCGGCCGGGCGTGGTGGATCCAAGTCCCGGGCGAAGCCGGGTAGTACAGCTAGTAGATATACAAAGAGATACATAGATACCTTATAGTCTTCTTGTAGTTCATATAGATGCAGAGCCAAAAATGACTACAATTTCACATGCGGGTGGTCAAGCCAGCAGATAACCGCGTCAGGAGCAGTAGCGGAGTAGTGGATCATCATCATCGCTGTGACGTCTCCTTCGTATTTGTGGATCGGGAGCATTAGCGTGGTTCCACGCTGCACGGTCTTTCGATCTGGATGACCACAGTCGCCACCCACTACTACCGGAGAGTTTTTAATTCCCCATGTGTGCATCATCATTATCAGGTTTATCTACTGCTGCTGCCACGGTTTGTGCAGTGGATGATGCGGTTTAGGGTGGACTGTGAGCAGCGTCGTGGAAGATAAAAAAAACGCAGGGAATCATCTGCGTTGGATCTTTCACAGAAAGGTGGTGTCTGTTCGTGAGTTCTGTTGACCTCTGTTCAGCTCTCCCAAGCTTCATCGTGGAGTTGAACTCGCATCACTGAAGGTTAAGTGTATGGGGTCCAAAAAGGGGGCTTGCTGCGTGACTTCAAGCGATGTCGAGGGATGTTATTGAGGTCCTGGCAGATGGGAAGGGGGCGACTGTTGTCCCTGATGATTCGCAGGGGACTTCCCGCAGGGTTGCTGCGTCGGGCGGATGGCTGGGGGACAGATTTGGTGAGAGCACGGGCAGCCAGGGTGGTTGGGGTCGATCTGAGGGTTACAGCGATACAACACCGCGTTGCGGTGTTAAGTAGTGATGGCTAGTGATGGTGACACGTGGCGATGATGGCACGCGATGTTGTTGATCGTGATGTTCACGATGGTGGTGATGTTGATGATGGTTCTGTTATATATCAACAAGTTGAGTGGAAACTACTTCTGATCCATGCTGGTGCACAGTGCTCGGCTACAGAGTATGCGAGGGCCATCGTTGATGTCCGTAGCGCCGAAGGTGATGAGGCTCCCCGGCTTGTGGATTGCCACACCACGGACCATACAGAGAACCCATAGACTCGGGGAAGAACATAGAGACACGTAGAGACACGTAGAGACACATAGAGACACACAGGGACCTATATCGACTGATAGATGCATGGAGACCCATAGAGATACACAGCAACGCATAGAGAATGATAGGGATCTATAGAGACTCATAAAGAAACACAGAGACCTATAGAAACCCATAGAGATGCACAGTCTCATATATATACGTAGAATCCTTAGAGTAAACTCATTGTGGTAATCTGCGCTCTGTCATTGGAGGAGGAGGAACAGCGACACGACACGATCTCTCTCTGCTGACGTCATCTCGTCGTGGTAGCAGCAACAGCAGTACCTCAACATTGGAATCGAGATCCTGGACCATAACACATCACTGCTGCTGCTGCTATCGCGCGCAAGAGCAAGAAGTGAGTGCGACACAGCGGATAAATAAGATCACGAGTTTAATAAATCCATGGGCGAATCAAATAATTTCATTTTAAATACACACGCAGTGAAAATTATTTACTTTTATTATCTCTAAATCAGAGGGACAATTAACATGTAAACCAGTTTAACACGTATTAGGAGGCTTTCGCGACCAATATCATCCATAATATGGGGGGGGGGGGGGGGGGTTTGTTTAGATCGCGTAAATATAAATGTATTGTTAAAACCCGCCACCAACCGACACAGCCGTCATATTAGTAAGGTTTGTCACGTAAACAGAACACGCCAATTCGTTACAAGTTGTCGCGGGTTTAACGACACATTTATATTTATGCAATCTAACCCAAGAAAAGAAAAACCTATATTATACATGTGTAGTGAGCGACTTCCGAGACACGCCGAGTAGAAGGCTTCTTATTTATGAAGAGCACACTGGGAGATACATTATGTAACACAGCTACACATAGGCGATCCTAATACTCACAGCCCCATCGCCGGCATACATCTACGCAGCTGTCAGACTAGCGTAGCGACAGCAGCGAAGAGGGTCTTGCAGCAGATCAGCCATGTGGTCGGTGAACGAAGAAATGATGCTGGGCAGCCCCGAACCTCTGGTTCGGTCCTCCGTATATCTGCCCCCGGCACGGCCTCTGGCCACGCCCCCTTCCAGAACCCTCGAGCCAGTTCCCGGAGTTTCTAGACTGACTCCGCCTTTCACCTTTACCCCAGATACGCCCCCTTATAATAAGGCATTACGTAATGCACCCATAACCGCAATTACCACTCCAGGCCGACAGATGTCACCCTGTCATTACACATGTGTAGAGGTGGTACGTACCGGGATGTAGCGAGCCATCGCGTAGCCAGTGTCTACATCACGGTCCGCACATGGGTGGCTACACCGACGTCCGCACTAGCCCCGCCCCTCGGGGAGCAGAGGGCTATATAAGGCGATGCGCATGAGCGCTCGGGAGTCGTTGAAGCCAGTGAAGAATGAAGACGGAGTAAGCTACATAGGACCCTGGGACCCCTAGCCCCGCTGCCCTTATCAGGGCCGGGACTCTGTGTGGCTCAGTGGTGAGACCCTGGGTACTCACGGCCCGACGTCCTTATCAGGGCCGGGTTTGATGAGCCAGTGGTTGGGACACGTACCCTGGCTAGGTCGGGTCAGATGGCCTCCTCTAGGAAGGACATAGCCGGAGGACCTGAGAGCGTAGCCGGTGTCAGGCACGCGTAGCCGTAGGCTGTGTTCCTAGGCTGTATAGATGACTGTTCTGTAGGGTGTTATAAATAAATACGTGCTGCCTCCGGCAACTCGTCTCCTGCAGTATTTAAGCCGTTACACATACAAACCGATCGTCATATTTTTTGGTGATTAATCGGCAACGCGGTTTTCCTTCTAGTTCAAAAATATACGGGGGTCAGCGGCCTCTCCAAGTATCTCCAAGTATCATCTTCCCCTTTCTCACTCTAAGAGTAAGCAGCAAATGCGATTTAAACCCAGCGGTATCTCAACCTTTTACCGCTGCCTATTGACTCCTTTGGTTCTCAATCTTTGAAAAAAAATATGTAATGTTCATAAACCACATAGGGTTTGATGGAACAAAGTCTGTTACTTAACGTGTCCGATGCTTAATTTGTGTTTTCGATGATTTACCTTCTAAAAAAGAAATTTGGCCACATCTCACACGCCCACCAGAAAGAGCATCTCGCACCCCCAGGGGACGCGTGCACTTCAGGTGAAGAACCACTGGTTGAAACAAATAAAAGTTATACATCTCATCTAAAGATTTGCAAAAAATAAACCACCCATTGTAAGTTTAACATCGTACCAGCATAAAACATTCCTGGCCAAATATCTAAATATAGGACCACAGAGCTCGGGCTAATTCTTGGCGGCGTCCATTCTGGCTGGCCGCCTTCCACTCCGCTGCCTACGGCTCCCTGCACCGCCCTGCGAAAACTGCGCGCGCTGCAAACTCCCTCCGAGCACTCCGGGATGCAGTTCGCACGAACGGCCCCACGTACATCATTGGTCTACTATCAATTATGACGATTAACTATCGATAATAACTATTGATGATTGTCGTTAAGTAAGCACCTTGTTCGAGACGCAGACGTCATCGCGCCTCCTACTCGTCTTCTCAAGAGCCCCCATCGATCTGCTCCGTCCTATCTCGCTGATCATTGGTGTACCGGCTTCAACGGACCCCAATCGACTCCCGATGACAACCCGCGGGCTCGCGACGACCTCCCACTTGCTGTGCTGTACCCTCTCCTGTAAACACGAGACGGCTTCCGGCCCAAAGACACTGGATCACCGCTACCAAGATCACGTTCGGGATCCATTCCTGAGTTTGAGCCACAGTTTCTGCAACAGACTCAACACGGTTGTTGTTTTAGATCACCTACTTCAACAACACATGAAGTCTCTCTCTGCCCTCTCTCGTCGTGTCAATAGCATCAGCAGCAGACTTCGACATTGGCATCCAGATCCTGACCCCCACGTAACGCTGCCATCGTGATTGTGAATGGAATTGTGGTTCAGGGAGCTGGTAGCGTCGTAGCGGTTCGTGCTGCGCTGCGCTACGATCCCGCGGACCCCCGAGTTCGATTCCCGCTCGCGGCCAACACAAGTGACGATTATCTGAACCGGTCCTGGGGCTCCCCTAGGTCGACTCAGCCTCAATTAATTCCCCAATGTGTTTTTCCTGGTAGGATGTGGATGGTCTAGTTTTCTTTGTTTCTTTTTGTGTGATTTGTTTGCCATTCTCGTACAATGCACTACTATCGTGTTTTTGTACTGTTTGTTTTTACCCCGTGCCCCTACTGGACATCTGTGAAAAAGAGCTTTGTAGCTCATCGGATTCCGCCAATAGAAATACATATTCTGATTCTGAAAAAGTACCTGGTGCGGTGTGTAAATATCGCGACTGGGGAGACAAAGGCGGCGGGGTGTGGTGCTGGCCACCCACCCCCTCGTGTGCCATGCCGGCCTCCATAGGTGCTCACTAACAGCACTTACCCCAAGAGTCTGTTACAGGCTACAGGGGGGGAGGGGGTCTTTGTGTTTGGTTAAGCCGTAGTGGCCGTGGTGGCTGTGTAGGGGTTCCAGTTTTAAAGTTTACAGCCTCATCTTCGGGGGAAATTCACATCTTAAAAAATATATTTTTCTTGCACATTTTTTTTTCTTCAGGATTTTTATGAATTTGTTCGAGACGTTTTTCCCAATGTGTCAGCGCATGAGCGAGCAGACGAAGTCTGCATCTCTAGCTCTGAGCGAGCAGATGAAGTCCGCATCTCGTGAACTCCTGGTGAATGGAGCTCAGGATCGTATCTCCTCCTCCTGATGCTGCTGCTGCCTCCACGACCCCCAGCCCCCCAGAGGAGGCGAACAACGACGAAAACGAGGAGGACAAAGATGGTGGCAACATCGACGCGTGGCTCAGGGCGGGCTCCGCCGTGGGCGGAGGGCCGCCGTCGAGCGAAGAAGCCGCCGGCAGGGCCCACGCAGGCTCCGGTGTGTAGCAGAAGCTGTAGGCTGTTGGGTACAGGAGGCCGTCGGGGCGCCCCAGCGTGAGGGGGACCCGCGTGGGCTGGAGGGCCCAGCGCCACTCGCCGCCGTGGGCCGACACGTCGGGGACCGCGCACAGGAGGCCCCGCGGCGGCCTTTGGGGAGGTGGCAACATTCGTAACCTTTTTTTTTTAATGTACGTTGTGGTAATTAGATTACGGTATTCCCTCATTATTATAAACACATTACGATATTCCCTCATTATTATAATTAGAATACGGTATTCCCTCAGTTTTATAATCGCATAACGATATTGCCTCATTATAATTAGATTACGATATACTCTCGATATTATAATCACATCACTGTATTCCATATTATTATAATTAGTTTACGGGATAATAACATTACGATTTCCCTCATTATTATAATTAGATAACTATATTATAACCACATAACAGTTATGACTATAAAGTCATTTAACAGTTATGACTATAAAGTCATAACTGGCTGTGATGCTTCCATCCTACCTTCCTATGTTTAGCAGTTATTTCTGACTCTCAGAGTTACATTACCTTGTTAAATGTCTTTACATTAACAGGATAAATGTCTCACTAGCGTAGCCGCTGCTCCCTTTTCCTCGATGCGCCGGTGGCGCTCGTTGTTTAATCGGCTGAATGTCTCTCATTAACACAGCCGCTGCTGCGGGAAGCGTCTCACATTGACATGCTCATCTCTAATCTCGAGCAATACAATGGCTTCTTCAGCACCGTAGCCGTGGGGTTACATTAACAGATTGACATGCTCATCTCTAGCAACACAATAGCCGAGGTATTCCTAGCTCTGCGATCTTACATTTACTTGCAAATCCATTTCTAGCCCCGCCCACTTACCCTTGGGTTGTACCCATCTCAAACCTCTATGACCTTTGGCTGCAGCAGCTCTCTCGCTATATTTCTTCCTGACTCAGCAGTCCGCCTGCTGTATTTTTTCACCTGAAGACGATTGCTTGTGTTGCGATCGAAACGTCGTGATTTTATTATTCTTTTTCTATCTACGTGACTTTACCGAAAGACCCAAAGAGTTTGAATTCCTGCAGTCACGAAAGCTTTAAGTCAAGATTATAGTATTCCCTCGGTTTTATAATTACATTACGATATTCCCTCATTAATCTAATTATATTTCGGTACTAGCTGTACTACCCGGCTTCGCCCGGGACTTGGATCCACCACGCCCGGCCGCCTTTGTCTCCCAAGTGCCGATGTTAATACGCCACACCAGTTACTCGTTTGAGGCTGAGTCGACCTAGGGGAGGTTCAAATAATCGTCACCGGTGGTGGCCGTGAGCGGGAATCGAACTCGGTTCGCCGGGTTGGTAGCGCAGCGTAGCGTTAAGCACTACACCCACCGCTCCTCACACACCACACACGCACATACACACACACAGACACACGCAGACACACACAGACAGACACAGACAGACACACACACACACAGACACACAGACAGCACGCTAAGCACTACACTACCGCTCCCCACACACCACACACGCACACACACAGACACACACACAGACACACACACAGACACAGACAGCACGCTACGCACTACACTACCGTTCCCCCTACACAACACACGCGCGCGCGCCCATAGGTACACATACACGCGCTTGCTGCAGACACACACGACTTTCAGGGTGCGTAAGGCAGTAAACGACTGAAATAATAAAGCGGCAATGCTGTGCGAGGAACGCCTTAGACCAGCAACACATTTGTGTAATGCGAGCGTAAACACACAAACACATACAAACACATACACACACATACATACACACACATACACACAAACACATACACACACATACACACACATACAAACACACAGACATACACATACACACAAACACACACATACATGCACACAAACACATACACAATACACACACACATACATGCAGACACACAGACAGACACGTAACACACATACATACACACACATACATACACAGAAACACATACACACACATACATAGACACACACATACATACACACAAACACATGCACACACGTACATACACACATACATAGAGACACGCAGACATACACATAAAGACATAAAAAAAAACCCACATACATACACACACACATACACACAAACACATACATACACATACATACACACATACATAGAGACACACAGACATACACATAAACACAAACACACATACACATGACCCGGCTTCGCCCGGGACTTGGATCCACGATGCCCCGCCGCCTTTGTCTCCCCAGTGACGATGTTCACACACGACAGCAGTTACGCTTTTGAGGCTGAGTGGACCTAGGGGAGGGCCAGGTCCGTTTCAAATAATCGTCAGCGGTGGTGGGCGTGAGTTGGAATCGAACTGGGGTCGCTCAAGCAGCTTAATGACTGTTTGTACAAAGAACATATAAAGAATCGATTATAATAACCAGGCAAGAGTCCACATTATAGACTGCCAGTACACGCACTCAGCTTCATAAGCAGGCTAGAGTGTACATGATAGAGTGGCAGTACGCTCACCGAGCTTAATAAGCAGGCTACAGTGTACATGATAGACTGGCAGTACGCTCACCCAGCTAAATGAGTATTTGTACAGTGAACATTAAAGTAATCGATTGTTGGCGCGTTGGGTTTAAAAGTAATATTAATAGCACACATTGTGGTGGGGGTGTAGTGAAGAGTAGGAAAAACTTTGATGAATTTACCTCAGAGTGGCGTGGTGGGTGTCGAGGCCTAGTAGCGTGCAAAGCCTGCGGCCTCGCCTAAAATTGTCGGCTTGGAAAAGGCAGGGTACGGGTGGCGTTCCTTCCCCCCCCCCCCTAGCGCTCCAACAATATTGTGTAATGGCTATTATTTAATTAAATACGGAGCTTATGAAAGTGGCGAAGGCGTGGCTAGCCGTTGGCAGGGGCAACCGCCGTCCAATGAAACTGCAGCCCTTGGCGAAGGCGTGGCTAGCCGTTGCCAGGTCCAATGAAAGCGGCGAAGGCGTGGCTAGCCGTTGCCAGGGGCAACCGCCGTCCAATGAAAGTGCGTATGGGCCAAAGTCCACACACACACACACAGACAGACAGACATGAACGATTTTATATATATAGATTACGGTATTCCCATGGTATTCACGAAGTTGGCTGTCCGCGGATTGCATCTGGAACTCTACGCGACTGCATTCCAAAGCTTGGTAGCTGCACCAGTTACATTGTACCCACTGTGTGTGTGTCGGTGGGGTTGGCTATGGCAGGAAATCGGAGAACCCGGAGGAAACCCATTGCAGAACTATCACACTCAAAGACAAAAAGACAAAATCCCCCGTATAGTCTTCACAGACTGTTGGGGCAAGTGCTGTTAGCTTGACGACGGGGTGGGTGGCCAACGTCACGCCTGGCCCCCTTTGTCTGCCCAGTACTCATTTGAGGCTGAATCGACCTAGAGGCCCAGGACCGGTTCAGATAACCGTCACTGGTATTGGCCGTGAGTAGGAATCGAACTCGGGTCACCGGGTTCGTAGCACAGCATTCTACCACTCCCCACTATCACACTACCACTCCACACACTCACACACACTCTCACTCTCTCACACACTCTCACTCTCACACACTCTTACATTCACATACATTCACTAACACACACACTCTTACTCTCACACTCACTTACTGGAACACACAGACTCCACATATTCACATACTCAAAAACTGTCATTCACTCTCACACTCACTCACTCACCAGAACACAGACTCCACACACTCTCATTCACTCTCACTCACGAGAACACACATACTCTACACACTCACACACTCATTCACTCTCACAATCCCTCACTGAAACACAGACTCCACACACTCTCACTCACTCTCACTCACTCACGAGAACACACATACTCTACACACTCACACACTCTCATTCACTCTCACACTCCCTTACTTAAACACACAGACTCCACACACTCTCACACACTCTCACTCACTCTCACTCACTCTCACACTCTCTGGAACACACAGACTCCACACACTCTCACTCACTCACACTCTCACTCACGAGAGCACATACAATTCCCCAACACAGACTGGCGCCCGAGAGTCGGGGGACCGACCCCAGGGCTCCTTCTTGTTTGCTGTGAAGGCGTCCACGGAGTGTCGTGGCCCCCTCACCTGTAGAGTGTTTCAGCCTCCACTGCGCCGAACCACACCTTGAGGCCGGGCTCCAGGTGCTCCCCGGTCAGCTCCAGCGTGGCCACGTCACCCCCACCATGCAGCTGTCACGCAACAGCACCCGCGTACTCCCCATGTCAAGTGGTGCACCCACACACCCACACACGTACACAACAACCGCCATTCGCCACTAAGTGGCGGTGACGTCACCACGATGCTTGTGCCAGGCCATGTGCACCTTGAGGCCACGTGAAGTGTCGAATGCCCGTTGGCAGGAGGTCATGGGGCAGACCCAGGTGCCACGGGTCGACTAACCGAGATGACCGAGATGACTGGCTGATGCACCACCTGTGCCCTCTACTGTACCAACTTGCTGTACTTTAGCCACCCGGGGATCCGCTCGTTGTTGTGAGCGTCGCTCCTCCGCCCTCCGTTGTTGTTGGAGGGCGACTGCCTCCAACTGCCCAGTAGCGTCCTTCACGAGCCTCCTCCACAGAGGCCGATCTTGACACCGCTGGTACCAGTCATCGGCAAGTCCACTCAGCTCCACGTCCTCCTGTACCACATCACTCCATCTCTTCTCTAGCCCGTGCCGCACCCGTTTAGCCCCCTCGATCCGGCCGAACAAAAGCTGTTTAGGCATGCGGTGGCTGGGCATGCGGGCTACATGACCCAGCCAACGCAGCCTTGCCTGCCGGAGGAGCTCACCGATGGGACTTTGCCCAGATCTTTCAGGGATTTGTGAGCTCCTCACACAATCCAGCCTGGTTAAATCCAGGATGGATCGTAGGCAGGCCAGCCTAAATGTTTACACACCCACCCACACATACACCCACATACCCCACACACCCACACCCCACACATCCACACCCCACACCAAAGATCCCCCGCATAACCTTAACAAACTGTAGGAGCAAGTGCCGTTAGCGAGCACCGAAGACATCTGGTACAGGACACGATGGGGAGGGTGGCCAACACCACGCCTTTGTCTCCCCAGTGGCGATGTTTGCACACCGCACCAGGCACGAATTTGAGGCTGAGTCGACCTCGATTCCCTCTCACGGTGTTGGCCGTGAGAGGGAATCGAGCTCCAATTCGACGGGGTTCGTAGCACAGCAGAGCGTTAACCGCTGCTTCACCACCGCTCCCCAGTACACACGCACACTCATTCTCGTTCACTCACTAGAACGAGGGGCAGAACGTACAAACTCCACAAAGAGAGAGGCGCCCTGAGTCAGGAATCGAACACAGGCATCTTTCTTGCCACGAGGTTGCACCGACTGTGACCACTGCGCTGCCACCGAACATACTGAATAATAACAATTATAATAAATAATTCAATCATTACCAATAATGATCATTATAATTATAATTACATAATTCTCACGATATATAATGAGACTGATAATCATGCAATCATTGAATTATCATTCTGAATTCAATTGAATTATCAATCGACTATCCTTCAATTTATTATTTTAATTATTGCTTTTCTAAATAATACTTCAACAATGATTGGATTATTATTATAATTATTGTTATTCTGATTATATATCACTATTTAACACAATTTTTGTTCCTGGGTACTAATTGTTATTTTTTATGCCTAAAAAGTATAGAAAATGGCGATTATTCCCCATAAACTTTGCTTTTATGTCTTTCGTGAACAAACTTTGCTTCTATGTCTTTCGTGAACGAAAGACAAAAGCAAAGTTTGTGGGGAATAATCGCCATTTTCTATACTTTTTAGGCATTAAAAAATAACAATTAGTACCCAGGAACAAAAATTCGTGAACGAAAGACATAAATGCACACGTTTTCTCATTAAAAATTGAAAAGTTTGTAGGTAATTTTATGTACTTTTGAGACATAAGCAATTAGGACATGACACTTACTACCCAGGAACAAAAAAAATGTTTTGTTACACAGTGAATTATTGCTATTCTGAATGATACATCAATAATGAGTTAATTATCATATTCTTGGGTCTTTCGGTAAAGTCATGTAAATAGGTTCAAAGAAAATAATAAAAAATTACAAAAAACTACGACGTTTTGATCGGAACACAAGCGGTCGTCTTCAGAAAAAGGGGGGTTAGTTTCCAAGGCAAATTGTTTATAAGGGTTTGAAATGGGCGTAGCCCAAATGTCAGCAGCCATTGATAATGTAAGTGGTGGCTAGCCACCCCTACGGTGGTTGGTTTTCCACCAATCAAAGGGCTGCCAGGTAAAAATTAGCATGTTAAAGAGAGATTAGCATGTTAATGGTAGATCGCAGAGCTGCAACCAAGGGGTCGGCGCGCGAAGTGACTGTGAAAGCGCAAGTTTGAAATGGGTGAAAAGCACAACTAACATCGGAAGGTGGTAGGATGGGATCATAGCCAATTATGACTTAAACTGGTTGATAACGTCCTTCCAATTGTAGTGACATCGGGGATGGCACTGTATGGTGCCGGCCCGGGAGGGGCGTGCATTTTATGTCCTTACGTCGCGGACAGCACCGCGTGGGTTGCTGTGTGATGCCAGCTTTAGTATAGCACGGCGTGCGATGCACCATCATCGCGTACACCCCGTAGATGGGTGTAGTACCAGCCCTAGCGGGGCTTGGTGAGAGCTGGGATAGCGCGGGCACCACGAATCGCGTGTGGTGGGGGCTTCCACAAGGGGGAACGGGAGAGTGTCAGCCCAGGGACAGGATTGTCCCGGGCCATGGCACTCTGGTTGACCCCGTAGACACGTGATCTGGAGTGTCCACAGAGAAGGCTCCAGGTGGGGGGGCTAGGGGTGATCACGTGTCCAGGGAGAGCTCTCGAGGGGTATCGAGCAAAAGCTAGAACGCTCGAGAAGGTGGGCGGGGCCGAGGGCAGAGCCCGCCAGAATATAAGGTGGGTCCCTGAGAAGGACCGGGGTCGCTTTGTTCTACGAGCTGGAAGCTCTACGTCCTACATCTGAGGAGGCATCAATACGTTGCCAGGGACCCGAGTGAGGGTCCGAACCTTCGTAGCTGTAACTCCTAAGTATAGTGTAGTTAGCTGGGTGGTCACCACCCCAGGCTGTATCTGGTAAAGGGGCAGTTACCCCTTTGTACATAAGTGTTACAATAAATGTGTTGCCTCTGAAGAATAACGTATGCGACTCAGACTCACTACACAATGATTGCTCAGTTTGTACCCATCTTCTCGGTTGAAATTGTGTCTGTGTTTATATATATAGATGGCTTCATGAACGAATCTTTGTTGATAGCCAGTGGCCTTGCAAAGTACCTTTGTCTTAGAGAAATACATTTCGTGTGAGCCCACCACATTAAAACAATGATCAGCCACAGCCGAGGTAGTGGTCCTCCCGTGTTTCAGATCAGTTCACGAACACGGTCCGAGACATGTCGCTTAGTTTCCCCAATGTAACTATTGCCGCAGACACAGCTTAGTTTGTAGACACCGGGGTATTGCATGTCAGGGATCACATCCTTCACAGATGGGATCAGATCACGAATTTTATGTCCTGTGTTAAATCGAACCTGAATCTTGTGTTTGCTCATGATTTTGGAGATCTTTTTGGTGACCCCTGCTATGTATGGTAAGGTGATGGTTTTGACTGGGTCCTCAGATGGTTCTTTCCTAACGGTTGGGGTGATAGCTTTACGGATTATGTAGTCTGATATATTCATTCATCTTGACAGCTTGGTGTACGTATTCCAGTTCACTGGCTAGGTGATAACGGTCGGAAATACATCGAGCTCTATGGTGTCGAGTTTTGATGAGGGAATTCTTCTGGGATGGATGGTGGTGGTAGTCAGGTTTTAGGTGGGCATCCGTATGGGTGGCTTTCCTGTAGACAGTGTTCAATTGAGCCATCTGGTCTCGTTTCGATTAAAACATCCAAGAATGGTAACTTGCTATCCTTTTCCACCTCCATAGTGAATTTGATGGCTGGGTGTATGGAATTGATGTGGTTTAGAAATTGGTTCAGAGCTGGTCGGCCATGTGGCCATATGACGAATGTGTCATCTACGCACCTCTTCCACAAGGACTGACGTAGAGTGGATACCTGGATGGCATCTGTCTGAAATTTTTCCATTAAACCATTGGCTACAACTGGAGATAAGGGAGAACCCATTGGGGTACCTTCAACTTGTTTGTAGAATGTTCCATTCCAGGTGAAGTAAGTGTTGGTGAGGCAGTGTCTCACCAGGGCCGGTACATCAGCATTCAGTCTTTGTTGGACCAATTCTTCAATGATTGCAATGGTGTTGGGCACAGGAACTTTGGTAAACAAAGAGACCACATCGGAACTAACGAGCAAATCACCTGGAGATAGTGAGATGTCATTAATTAACGGTACCAAGTGAGCTGAGTTGAGTACAGCTGAGGTGGTCTTACCAGTGAATGGTTGTAAGGTCTCAGACATAAATCGGCCCAGTTTGTCGGTGGGTGAGTCAATGGTGGAGGGAGACGATAGGATGAAGGGGTGTCCCTTCTTTGTGGATTTTTGGTAAGCCATACAATCTGGGTGGTCTAGAACCCAGTTTAAGTCATAATTGGCTATGATGTTCCAATCCTACCACGTTCCGATGTTAGTTTTGCTTTACGCCCATTTCAAACGTGCGCTTTTACAGTCACTTCATGAGCCGACCTCTTGATGCGGCTCTGCGATCTCCCATTAACATGTTAATCTTTCTTTAACATGCTAATTTTCACCTGGCAGCCCTTTGATTGGTGGAAAACCAACCACCGTCGGGTTGGCTACCCACCACTTACATTATCATTGGCTGCTGACATTTGGGCTATGCCCATTTCAAATCCTTATAAACAGTTTGCCTTGGAAGCTAACCCCCCTTTTCCTGAAGACGACCGCTTGTGTTGCGATCGAAATGTCATAGTCTTTTGTAATTTTTTATTTTCTTTTAACCTATCTATGTGGCTTTACCGAAAGACCCAAGAATATTAATTGCTGCAGTCACGATTGAATTATAATTATAATTATTGTTATTCAGAATGATACTTCAATAATGATTGCAATATCATTCTAATTATTGTTATTTTAATTATTGTTATTCTGACTGATACTTCAATAATGATTGGATTATAATAATTATTATCGTCGGGCAGAGTGAGCGCCTGCCCAACAGGCTGCGTGTCTCTGTAAGTAGGGGCACACCTCTAAGCCGGTGATGCTCGGGATGGGGGTGACTGGCCCCAGCTGCGGGGGTGGGGGGCCGCCCCCCCCCGGCCCCACCACCCCAGCGGGCTGCAAGAAGCTGTGCTCCACGCGCTCCGTGCCGATGATGGTCCAGCAGGCTCCGTCGCCCAGCAGCTCCCGTGCCGGGTCGCGGGTGCACGGAGAGGCCTGTGGCGCGCACCACAGGCGAAGGTCCCCATTCCGCTCGTACTCTTTCACGGGCCGTCGGGGAGACGTGTGCTTTTGTGCGTGTACGTGTGTGCGTGTGTACGAGATTCTCGGGCATGTGTCGTGACCGCCCCGGGGTTACCGCAAGATCCGACAGTGTGCGAGACCCACGAGTGCATGTGTAAATGTCCGCCCACGCTCATTACATGCGATAGAGAGGCTCGGCCACAAATGGGCCGCGATGCGCCTTGCACGGTCGCGTCAAGGAGCTTCATCACCACGTGTACTCCGGCGGTCATCCTCGTGGTGACGGAGGTGGGGAGCCCATGGAGGGGTGGGGGGGGGTGACTGAGGGGGTTCACGGGGGATTGGGAGGGAACGATGGAAGGGTGGGGGGGGGGCGACCAGGGGGGGGGGCGACCGGCGACCAAGGGGGTTGGTGGGGCGACGATGAAAGGGTGGGGGGGGCAACTTATGGATTGGGGGGGGCGACGAAGGAGGGGGGGGAGCGACAATGGAGGGGTAGGGGGGGCGAGGGGGTGAGGGGGTGGTGGGGAGTCACCCGGTAGAGGACGATGCGGTCGTTGGAGAGGCACAGGTAGGCACTGGCGCTGCCCTTCACGAGTAGCGCGCACTTGTGCAGCTGGGACACCGGCTCATCCACGGCCAGCAGGGCACTCTGCTTCTCCACCTTCCGAATCACCTGGCGGGCGGGGGAAAGGCAGTGCAAGGGGTTCTAAATGTTGAGATGCACCTGGTGAGGAAGACAGACCAAGGGTTCTCAACGTTGAGATCTAGGATGAGGAAGAGAAACGAGGAGATTGATAACGATGGGAGAGACGTGAGGAGGATGCTGATGAGGAGACAGGAGGAGGGCGACAATGAGAGCGAGGGTGATGACGATGAGGATGATGAGGGTGGTGATGATGAGGGTCATGGTGAGGGTGACGATGAGGGTGAGGGTGATGATGATAAGGATGAGGTGAGTTAGGGTGAGGGTGGTGATGATGAGGGTCACGGTGAGGTTGACGATGAGGGTGATGATGATGAGAAGGATGAGGGGGGTTAGGGTGAGGGTGGTGATGATGAGGGTGGTGAGGGTGATGAGGGCGGTGAGGATGGTGAGGGTGATGAGGGTGGTGAGGGGGGTGAGGGTGGTGAGGAGGGTGGTGAGGGGGGTGAGGGTGGTGAGGGGAGTGAGAGGGGTGAGGGTGGTGAAAAGGGTGGTGAGGGGGGTGGTGAGAAGGGTGGTGAGGAGGGGGGTAAGGGGGGTGGTGAGGAGGGTGGTGAGGAGGGTGAGTCACCATGGTGGGCAGTGCCAGGCCACTCTCTGGGCACACGAGCCGCACACTCGCCCCGTAGCGTACGAAGCCATCACGCAGCGAGAAGCCTCCTTGCATAGGCCTCGAGTCCTCCACTGCTCTCGCACGCGACATCACCACCATCATAAAGACCACGGAACTATCACCACCGTCATCACTACCATCATCATCACCACCATCATCATCACTATGGGACCATCATCATCATCATCATCACGGGACCATCCACACCATCTTTACCACCATCACCACCACTATCATCACCTCCATCATCACCACTATGGGACCATCACCACCAGTCCACCACCATCATCATCACCACCATCACCACCACGGGACCATCACCACCAACATCACCACCACCATCACCACCACCAGTCCAGCACCCCCTGTGGGTGCCCCGTGCCCTCACCCAGGTGCAGGGTGAAGGCGCCCCACTGCTGCCCGCTGGCGACGAAGCCGCCCCCCTGTGTGTGCAGGTAGCGCGTGCTCACAGTCTGCGAGCGCAGGCGGTTGAACAGTGCCACGCGTGATCCCGACGGGATACAGACTGGGGCACCACCACCAACAACAAAACAACATCAACAAACAACCAACATCAACAACAAACATCATCAACAAATAATCGACATCATCAACAAACATCACCAACAAACAACCAACATCATCAACAAACATCAACAACAAACAACCAACATCATCATCAACAAACAACATCAACAACAAACATTAACAAATGACAAAGCATCAACAAACATCATCAACAAACAACATCAAAAACAACCAACATCAACAAACATCATTAACAAACAACATCAACAACAAACAACATCAACAACAATCATCATCAACAACAAACATCATCAACAAACATCACCAACAAACAACCAACATCATCAACAAACATCAACAACAAACATCATCAACAAACATCAACAAATGACAAAGCATCAACAAACATCATTAACAAACAACACCAACAAACAACCAACATCAACAACAAACAACCAACATCATCAACAAACAACCAACATCAACAACAAACATCAACCAACGACAAAGCATCAACAAACATCATCAACAAATAACCAACATCATCAACAAACATCATTAACAAAAACATCATCAATAACAGGATAAACAACATCAACCAACATCACAAACAACCAACATCATCATCAACATCGCCAACAAACCATACACAGCCCCAGTGGCGATGTTGACACACCACACGCAGGTACACATTTGAGGCTGAGTCGACCCAGGAGGGCACACACACAGACAGAGCCACGCACGCTCAGCGTTCTTGATCGATTGCTTCTTCTTCGATGGCTTGGAGATAACTTTGATGGTTCGGCTGAGGAAGGAACCGATCTCCTGCCCGTCCACCAACCCCAGTGTGAGCTCCAGACGGAAGTGCTTCCTCTTGTCCTGGTCCGACACGAACAGGGTCTTGGCACAGCCGAAACTCTGCGGTGGTGGAGAGACAAACGGGGAGAAGGGAGAGAGAGACAAAGAGAGAAGAGAGACAGAGAGATGCACAGAGAGAGATCTAGATAGATACAAATATACAGATAGATACAGAGAGACACAAATAGAGAGGAGAGACACAGAGAGATACAGATACACAGATAGACACACAGAGAGACAGAGATAGACACAGATAGACAGATACAGAGAGACACAGATTGACAGACAGATAGGAAGACACGCTATGCGCTAACCACTGCGCCACCACTCATGTGCATGCCTTAATACGGGTGTTTGTGTGTGGGTAAGGAGTGGTAGCTGATGATGATGCTGATGATGATAGTGATGATGCTATGATGATTTTAACGACAGTGATAACGATGGTGATGATGGTCGTGATGTTGATTTTGATGATAGTGGTGATGCGTATAATAGCGATGGTGGTGATGACGATTTTGATGAAGCTGACAATCTTGATAATTATGTTGAGGATGCTGATGATATTGATTTTGATGCTGATGATGCTAATATTGACGATGTTGATTATGCTGATGACGATGTTGATGACGACAATCCTGATGACGACGATGTTGATGATATTGATGACGATGATGCTGATGATATTTACGATGTGATGACGATGCGTATGATGACGACGGTGCCAATGTTGATGACGACGATGCCGATGACGATGTTGGTGACGACGTTGTTGATGACGACGATGCCGATGTTGCCGATGTTAATGACGACGTTGTTGATGACTATATTGATGATGACGATGTCGATAACGATGTTGTTGCTGACGATGTCGATGATGATGTCGATGTTGATGACGATGATGGCGATGTTGATGACGACGATGCTGATGATGATGTTGATGACGACAATGCAGATGACGATGTTTACGATGACGACGATCTCGATGATGCCAATGACGATGCTGATGACGATGTTGTCGTACCATCCCCGCGTGCTGCTGCTGCAGCGGTATTCTCTGCGCCTCCTCGCATCGCGGCCCCGCAGCTGCCGCCCCCTCCTGCAGGATCCCCATGCAGGCCACCACAGCCACGGGCCCCCCATCTGGGGGGCACAACACACAAAGACGTAGCCTTAACAGACTGCTGGGGCAAGTGCTGTTAGTAGCGAGCAGCAGCTTCTATGAGGCCGGCACGGCACACGAGGGGGTGGGTGGCCAGCACCAAGCCCAGCCGCCTTTGTCTTCCCAGTGGCGATGTTTTTACGCGCCGCACCAGGTACTCATTTGAGGCTGAGTCGACCTACAGGAGGAAGGTTCAGATAATCGTCACTGGTGTTGGTGGCCGTGAGCGAGAATCGAACTCGGGTTGCCGGGCTTTAACCGCGACACTAGCGCCCCCCAAACACACTACACACACACGGACAAACACAGAACAATACCAATACAGCCGCCATTCGCCACTAAGTGACGGTAACGTCACCACGGCACCTGTGCCAGGCTATGTGCACGTTGAGGCCACGTGAAGTGTCGAACGCCTGCTGGCAGTAGGTCATGGGGCAGACGCAGGTGCCATGGGTCGACTGACTGAGATGACTGGCCGATGCACCACCAGTGCCCCCTACTGTGCCAACTTGCTGTGATTTAGCCACCCGGCGCTCAGCTCGTTGTTGTGAGCGTCGCTCCTCCGCCCTCCGTTGTTGTTGGAGGGCGACTGCCTCCAACTGCCCAGTAGCGTCCTTCACGAGCCTCCTCCGCAGATGCCGATCTTGACACCGCCGGTCCCAGTCATCGGCAAGTCCACTCAGCTCCACGTCCTCCTGTACCACATCACGTCATCTCTTCTCTAACCCGTGCCGTATCCGTTTAACCCCCTTGATCCGGCCGAACAAAAGCTGTTTAGCCATTCGGTGGCTGGGCATGCTTGATGGGACTTTGTCCAGATCTTTCAAGGATTTGTGAGCTCCTCACACAATCCAGCCTGGTTAAACCCAGGACGGATCGTAGGCAGGCCAGCCTAAATGTTTCTAACCGATGAAGATGTTCCATTAGGGGCGCCGCGTTTCGCAAGCATAAAGAAGGGAGGGCATGACTGTGGCCGAGAAGACCTGAAGCTTCATGTGGAGTGACAGACCAGGTAGCTTCCATACAGCATTACGCAACCGATGAAAAGATAATGCCGCTCAACTGATTCGGAGTGAGACCTCTGGCTGTCAAACCGGAGCCACTCATGAGCACACTGCCCAGGTATGGGAAGCTCTCCACTCTCTCCACAACTGACCCATCACCAATTGGGAGTTGTGGGGGTGGAGTGTCCAATGGTACAAAATACCCAGGCAGGCGCTTAGTTTTGATGGGACTGATGGTAAGGCCCCACCTCTTAGTTACCAGATCATCGACATACGTAACATGCTTGACCAATAGGGAGCCATCCCTTGACCGCACCCGGGCATCGATGAGTCTCCCATTGTATCTGTACTAGATGGAAATTCCTCCGGTGCAGCAATTGAAGGATTCACGAACTACGTAGTCAAAATAGATGTTAAATAATGTGGGACCCCTGTCGCACACCAAGGTGTACAGGGAATGGCTCCGACTCCCGGACATGTAGTTTTACCCGGGCCCGCTCACCATCATGAAGGTCCTTAATGATCGTGAGCAGAGGGTCAAGGACTCCGAAAGCACATATGATTTCCTGCAGTCATGAAAGCTTTAAGTCAAGATTAATCCTTGCCAGGACCTTTCCCGGCACACTGAGGAGTGAGATGCCCCTGTAGTCGTTACAGTCTGTGCGGTCCTCCTTCTTAAAGAGGGGGACCTCCAGGGCATCCTTCCAATCCTGTGGAACCCGTCTAGTGGTCCAGAATGTTATGTCATGTAGGGCAGGATATGTACAAACGCCACCCTCCCTCAGCATTTCGCTTTGGAGATCATCTCTGCTCAGTGCCTTTCCTGGTCTCAGACTCTGGATCGTCTTCAGTAATTCCTCAACAGATGGTACCTCAGCCAGCCATTCACAGGGAGTGACTTTTTCCTCCAATATTTGAGGCACCGCAGCCTCGGCAGAGTCATCCCCACTTTGCCCCATGATATTTTCCATGCTGAGGGATTTCCCCTCCCCAGGACCTCACAAAAATGCTCGGCAAATCTGCAAACCTGTTTCTGGGGGTCGGAGATTGGATAACCATTATTTCCCCTAATGATGGTAATAGGTGTTGCGCTGCAAGTTACTATTTTTATGGAATTAAAGAGCGATTTGTGATCACGGGCCACTGAGGCAGATTCCATCTCACATACACACATGGACACACACACAAGGACACACACACTGATATATACACATATACACATACACACACGGTCCCACAGTTCTAAAGTCTGCGAGGCTCAACCGGGACACACGGAAGTGAGCTGCCACGCCCCTCCCCCTATTACACAGCCCCGCCCACTGCTCCTGTAACCCCACCCACTGCTCAGATAGTTCTGCCTACTGCACGGGCAACCCCGTCTACTGCACGGGTAACCCCGCCCACTACGCACGTAGTCCCGCCCACTGCCAATGTAGCACCGCCCACAACACCAGGAGCTGTTCACTGCTCGTGTAGCCCCGCCCACTGTCCGCATCACAACCAAACGCTGTTATTTTCCAGGGCTCAGCCCCCTGGGGTTGAGAGGCTCCCATTCAAAGCGAAGCCTCCCAAGCGGTGATTTTGGCCCCCAGTGAGCCGCGTGCAGCCCAGGCCTCACCGGGCCCCTGGTGTCTCCTCCAGCCAGGCCCGTGCAGGTAGACACAGGGTGGTGGGCAGAAGAACCTGCTCGCTCGCACAATGCGTACTTTTTACAGATGTCCAGTAGGGGGCACGGGTGGTCGGAACGTTAAAACGACAAATACTACACAGACACGAAAGGAGTGCAAAATATAGGCATTGTAAACAAATCGATAAAAAAATATATACTAACTAAACTATTTTTTATTTTACCAGGTAAGGGCCCACTGAGCTATGTTGCTATTTTTTCAGAAGTGACCCTGGCTATCAAAAATGAGCCCAACCAAGTCGCTTATGATCATCATCATCATGTGGAAATGTATAGTAGCAAAATAATCTACATAATCTAGACAGAATCAGAATATTTATTGACACTGGAAGAATCCGATGAGCTATGAAGCTCGTTTTCACAGATGTCCCCAGTAGGGGTACGGGGTAAGAACGTTACAACAACAAACAGTAAACAGATCACGCAAATACATACACGTAAAACTAAACCATCCTACCAGACAAAGCCCACTTATTAACTTGTTTTGTAACTTATTTAAGGCATTAACTTATTTTTCAGAAGCGACCTGGGCATCACAAATGATAGCTGCTCCACAAAGTGGCCTATCATTTGGGCATTTATAGTAGCTAAATAATGAAAATAATCTAGAGCGGTGGTTCTTCTTACCCTGGGGTGCACGCCACCCCAGGGCACCCCATTGGGGTGCTGCGGAATGCCCTCTCTGGGGGGGGGGGGCGGGCGGGGGGAGAGGGTGTAGCGAGACGTGGCAGATTATTTTAGATGGTAAATCATCGAAAACACAAATTAAGCATGGGCACGTTAATGATGCCAATGATATTGATGACGATGTTGATACTGATATTGACGATGTTACAACTTGCGTTGTTTCATCAAACCCTGTGTAGTTATTAACATTGTACATTTCTGTTAACGACTGAGAACCAAAGGGCTGCAAGGCTGCAGTAAAAGGGTAAGAACCACTGGTCTAGTCGTAGGTTTTTAAATGTGTAGGGAAAAACGGAGGACCCGGAGAGAGAGAGAGAGGTGTGGTTGCTCATCAGCAGGCCAGCCCAGAGACAGACCCTGCACCAGAGCTCAGTTGTACACGCACCGCACCTTTCGTTGATCCACTGCTGGATGAGGAACCTCCCGAGCCTGACAACGCCTGCTGTAGACACCTTTATTTAAGAACGGCACAGGAGGAGGATGTATCCGCAACTCTCTGTGGCTGTCCGCCTGATGATGATGATGATGGTTGTTGTTGGAATTATCGGCAAAACGTCATGTTTTAGTGGGTTTACTCTCCAACACACACTGGTGTAGTGCTGTACTAGTAACGAATCGGCCATATTTTGTTAACGTGACAAACCTTAATTAAATTGGCTGTGTCGGGTGGCAGCGGTTTAACGACACATTTATATTTACGCGATCTAACCCCCCCCCCAAAAACCTAAATTATGGATATTTCGAGTTTGCGTGTCTCTCTCTCCGTGGTCGCGTGGATTTTTCTCCGAGTCCTCCGGTTTTTCCCCTCCACATTTACAATCCACATCACGCGTTTAGAGTATTTGGGCTGCTGCTATACGTTTGCACATGATGATGTTGAGCTATCTATCATCCGTGATGGCCAGGAGCTGCATAGCTCACTGGGTCTTAGCTGGTAAAATAAAATAAACAAGTTTAATTGTTAGCTTGGATTCTTCCAGGACTAATGGAGATCGGAGCATAGATACGTTGCCACATAGTACAGTACAACATTGGGTTTTTGTTGTTGCTGCAACTGTCCCCTGCCGCCTTCAACAACCAGTCTGTCTTACACTGCACGGTGGCCGCACCTGACTCGGCATGGTCCAGGTTCCACCCCATCTGAGCTTCCGAGACGCGGTGAGAGGCGAGACGCACTGCTGGGTAACTTAGCCACAAGTAGTGATGTGTGGGAGTGTGGTCGTGCTCATGACGCGTTATCAGTGTATTTACGGTAGTGATGGGTGGCGCTGCGGTTGGTGGGGCGACTCACCGCTTCTCGCTCCCGTACGACTTTTGAGCGACGCGCGCGTGCAGGATGAGAACCGAGCACCACCCCAGAGCGCCGGGCCACGGCGAGGCCCCGTCACACAACCCACTGCACCCAAAGACAGACAAAGATCCCCCGTGTAGCCTTCGACACACTCTCGTGGTCAAGTGCTGTGAACGAGCAGCAAGTACCCTGTGGCACACGACGGGGGCTGGCGGGCAGCACCACGCCCGGCCGCCTCGTCTCCCCAGTGGCGATGTTTAACACTCGAAGTTGAGTCCGAGTCGACCTACGGGAGGAGGACCAGGACCGGTTCAGATAATCGTCGGTGATGTTGGCCGTGAGCTGGGATGGAACTCGGGTTGCCGGGTCTCTTGCGTAGCGCAGCACGCTAACCGCTGTACCACCGCTCCCTATTGCACCACCATTTCCACCATGTACACCACAGCACCATTGCCGCCGCCACCATCATCATTACCACCATCATCATTACCATCATCATTGCGATCATCTTAACCAACATCATCATTACCACCACATCACACGTAACCCAGCATCACTAAACATCACCCAACATTAACTAACATCACCCAACACCACACAAGAACATCACCAAACACACACCTAACATCACGCAACTCCATCTAACATCACCCAACATCACCTAACATCACACATCACCCAACATGAACTAACATCACCGAAACACCAGTTAACATCACCCTACATCACACATCACCCAACATGAGCAAACGTCACCGAACACCAGCTAACATCACCCAACATCACCTAACATCACATATCACCCAACATGAACTAACGTCACCGATCACCAGCTAACATCACCCAACATCACCTAACATCACACATCACCCAACATGAACTAACATCACCGAACACCAGCTAACATCACCCAACATCACCTAACACCACATATCACACAACATGGACTAACATCACCGAACACCAGCTAACATCACCCAACATTTTAACACATAGGCTTGCATACTCTTCGCGACCAATTTAATATATAATATAGTTTTTTTGGGTTAGATCGCGTAAATATATACATTTTTCGTTAAACCCTTACGAGCCAACTAGTAAGGTTTGTCAAGTAAGCAGAACATGCCAATTCGTCACTGGTACAGCACACCGGTGTGTTGGAGAGCCAAGCCACAACATTTACAATCTGAGTACGACGTTTCGCCAGTAATTAGGCTCCCCTGAACGTCCACTATCGAGGGAGGTACAGCCTCCGGGATAACGTGACCTCACACTGGGTAACCTGGCTCTTAGCCCTCCGGCTATCAGTGGCCTAGGGGATGCTATCTGACCCGACCCAGCCAAGGTACGGGTCCCGTCCACTGGTCCCAGCTCGACCCGGCCCTTACAAGGGCAGCAGGCTCGAGGTCCCAGGGTCCGAGTCTCGCTGCTCTTCAGTCTTCGTGCCCGGGGTGCCCCTTTTATACACCTCCAGGGGACCCTCCGCCCCTGGTACCACCCCCTTTCTGGAACCTTCCAGAAGATCCTAGAAGGCCCCCTCCCAGCCCCCCACCTGGGGTAGGGGAGGGGAACCCCGCCTCTCTTGGGTCCGGCTCCCTCTCTATCCCCTTTGTACTCGCTAGCACACCCTACCGACCTCCTGCTGCAACTGCAGGTAAGTGTATACGGCGAACGGCAGGTAAGTGGATACAGGCGGTATGTGCATATGCGATCCGACGCTACTTCTGCATACGCGATCCGACGCTACACATTGTGCATTATGCGAGCCCTTTGAACGTGTCCTTCCTGTCTATTGTGTGTATTAAAATAGCCGTACCAACGGTAATCCATATTGAAGTATGCTGCCCTTTGTAGGCGCAAGAGCACAGAAGGGTGGTCACCACATCTACGCCTCTATATAAGGAACGAAAAGACTTCTCCACAAATCTGGCTGTCGCCTGATGAAGCTAGTTGTAATTACTGGCGAAACGTCGTACTCAGATTGGAAATGTTGTGGCTTGGCTCTCCAACACACCGGTGTGCTGTACTAGTGACGAACTGGTCACGTTCTGTTACGTGACAACGCTTTACTCGTTGGTTGTGTCGGGTGGTGGTGGGTTTTAACGACACATATATTTACGCGATCTAACCCAAAAACCTCTATGATGGATCACCCAACATCACAAAACCAGATAACCGAACACCACCTAACATCACCCAACATCACCGAACATCACCCATCAACATCACCTAGCATTACCCACCAACATCATCGAACATTACCTCCCATCACTACCCAACACCATCACCGAGCATATCACCCTGACCGTCATCAGTCACCTTTGGCCATCAACCTCTGCCCACGCACCCACCGACCTGTTGCCCCAGGTGAGCGCGGGCAGTGCAGCGTGCACGCAGGAAGCGGCCGGCTCCTCCATGCAGGCGAACTCGGGTTCGGCCTGCAGCATCTCGTACCGAGCCATGGTGGGGGTGAGTGGGGGTCCCGCCAGCGAGGGGCCCAAGGGGAGCAAAGACCCCGCCGCGGACGGATCTGTCTCCTCGTCCGCTGTTGGCAACAAAAAAAGAGGCAATGCAGATAGGCAGGTGGGGAGGATGGCACGGGTGGCATCGTCCCGCCTACCCTGTGTCCACGTCCGTGTACCCACGAGTACCCATATCCATGTACCCACGCGTCTCCAGGTGTACACATCTCCGTGTACACACGTGTACCCACGTCCATGTGCCCACGGCTAGCCGTGTCCTGGGTGCCGCGTACTCGTCGAGAAATGGGGGGCCTCCATTTCCTCGTCCTCGCGGGGCAGCAGCAGCAGCTCCTCCATGAAGCTGAGCTCTCGGGCCATGGTCGACACGTCTCGCTCTCGACCGCCTTTGTATCTCTCCTTCCCCTCTTACAATATCCTCGTCTCTCTCCGTAAGTCTTCCCCAATCTCTTGCCTACTCTACGCGCTCTCTCCCCTCCACTCTCTCGTTGTTTGTTTTTGCCCCCCCCCCCCCTCTCGTTTATGACCTCCCCTCGTTATCAGCTGAGTCTCCAGATGCGCGTCGCCCTGGGGTTCCCACGCGCCCACCCCTCCACTACACCCCCCCCCCACCACAAACCCCTCCCCCCACTACAACCCCCCCCCCACTACAAGCCCCTCCCCCCACTACAACCCCCCCACTACAACTCCCCCCCACTACAAACCCCCCCCACTACAAACCCCTCCCCCCCACTACAAACCCCTCCCCCCACTACAACCCCCCCACTACAACCCCCCCCCCACTACAAACCCCCCCACTACAACCCCCCTCCCCCACTACAACCCCCCCTACTACAACCCCCCCCCCATAGCCTTAAGTGTTGTTAGCGAGCACCTATGACGGCTGGTACGGCACACGATGGGGTGAGTGGTCAGCACAACGCCTTTGTCTCCGTATTGTCAATGTTTTTACGAGGCACTCAATTAAGGCTGAGTCTCCCTAGGGGAGGCCCAGTACCGGTTCACACATTCGCCACTGTTATTGGTCGTGAGCAGGAATCAAACTCGGGTCGCCAAGTTCGTAGTGCAGCACGCTAACCGCAACACCACCACTCCTCACCCACCCACTCTTGCCTACTCCTCCCCTCTCACTCCACTCTCCTCACTCTCCCGCCTCTCCCCTCTCATGTCACTCCATACACTCCCCTGCCTCTCATCTCACTCAACTCCCCTCCACGCACTCTCCTACCTCTCCCCTCTCATCTCACTCCACGCACTCTCCTACCTCACACCTCTCATCTCACTTCACTTCCTTCCAGGCTCCCTGTGCACTCCCCGAGTTACCCTTCATTGACTCAGTGATGGGAGGTCGCTCATTCTCCTCTGCTGCTCCTGTGTCTGGAACTTCCCTCCAGCCGTCCGTGCTCTAAACTCCCGGGCTCCTTCCAAGACCTCCCTCTGCCTACGACCTCCACTGTTCTCTTTCCCACTCACACGGTGATCCACACAGACACCTACCTACGACTGACTACCCCTCTCTCACTGCGGTGGATAGATGCTACCTCGCCTGGTATACAGAAGGTCGTGGATACGATGCCTGCTGTATATTTGGAGTCTGCGGTGTCACTCTCTCCCCCCGTGGTCGCGAGGATTTCTCTGTGTCCTCCGGTTGTTCCCTCCACATTTAGAAACACGAATTTAGAGTATTTTGGCTGCTATAAATTTTAGACACGAGAAGCCACTTTAATGGGCTATTATTTGTGATAACCAGGTGGCTTCTGAAAAAAGAGCTACATAGCTTACTGTGCTTTAGCGTGGCAAAATTGATTCATATCTAAAACCTGATTCCCACCACCATCTGGCACAGAATTCCCTCATCAAAACACTACACCATAGGGCCCATTGCATTTCTGACCAACACCACATAGCCAGTGAATTGGAACACGTACACCAGGCCCTCAAGATGAATGGATATTCGGACAGCATTATCCGCAAGCTGTTTTTCCAACCATGGAGAAACAACCCCCTGAGACGCCGATCAAAACCATCCCGTTACCATACATAACAGGCGTTACTAAAAAGATTTACAAAATCTTAAACACTAGATCCAGGTCCGATGCTGTACATTACACAAAATCCGTGACCTAATCCCATCTGTGAAGGATGTCATTCCTGACATGCTGTCATTCCTGATATCCTGGAGTCTACAAACTAAGTTGCACCTGTGGTGATTGTTACATTGGGGACACGAAACATCATGTCTCGGACCGTGTTCGTGAACACAAGGCAGATCTGAAACACAGCAGAACTAATTCCTCCGCCGTGGCTGACCATTGCTATAACGTTGTGGGCTCTCATGATAGTTTTTTTTCCGAGACCAAGGTGCTCTG